CTCCGTCCAGCTATAACTGCACAATAAGTGTTCAGCACATCTGGACCTGGAGCAGCAAAGTTCTTGGAACCCACAAGGGCTCTACGAACGTCATCTGGGGTTATCGGGTTGCGCAATTCATTGAGCTCAGGCTGTCAAAGCTCACTATTGAAAGCTTCGAACTGCGCTAGGGCTGGAGTGTCTAAGTTGAGTGGCAGGTGTTCGTAGATATCCTTCCAGTAGGAGTGCACCTGATCAGAGGTCGGCGGATTATCCACAATACGGGGAGGTTCTTGGAATAAGCGAGAAGGTTTCTCGAAGAACCTAACGCCTCACTAGTGACTTCTTAGCAGCCACTAGCATTCGTATCCTATCAAAGCAATGCTGGTGATCAATAGCACGCCTTGACTTAAGGTGTGATGGATACGTCTAGTTAGGCGGCTATTCACCGCACTGTGGGCGTGAAAGGCCTGTTGGCCGCCCAGTAATCCATCACACATTGGATACGAGACGCGTGTTGTCTCGCCGACGTGATTTTAGCCTCCATCTTGTGTACACGCCGTTCAATCTCTCTAATCGCAAGGCCGGGATTTCGTCCTGAATCGGAAAGCGATTGAACGCGCTATATTATTATTATTATTTTTTTAAACCGTAGTTTGTGCTGGTCAGACCCTATCCCCCGAAGCCCCGATACATTCGGAAGGGGGCGCCAGCATCATCCACCAACGACAACTTCCCACACCGTGTGATAAGTGATCATTGGGTCCGAGAATCATGTACCCCAAACAAGAGCAGTGAGCCAAGAATGACTCCAATAATCAGAACAACCATCTTGATAGAGTGGTCTGTTCGAAGAGAAAATCTCGATATTTTATCCATTTTTCCTCCTCTTTTTTTACAAAAACGCAACACGTGTTTTGCTATAGATACAACAGCTTCTTCAGGCGTGTCTTCACTCATTACCTAATTCAACTTGTTTCAGTACACTACTCTGCTCTGCCTATAATCGCAGAAGCTCATAGGCTTACGCCAATGGAGAGCCTTCATTGTGAATTCGGAAAATTGTAACGGTCTAAATTTACTTGTAAATATTGTAGATATTGTTCGTTCATTTATTATGGAATCGACAGAATTATCATTTATTGATGACGAACTTTTCGTCACAGCTAGGGACACATCTGGTTTTCCAGTGTACCCAACCTACATTTTCAAAGAGTTTCCGTGATTTTTCTGTAAAAACAACGGTGTTTTCACCGCCATTTCTTTTGTATCTCGTGTATTGTACAGATATCCAACTATTCTACTAGATTTTCCTACGATCAAAAATACTTATTTCTATTGGTCCAAAATACTGACAGCAAGTTGTAAATCAACGTAGTCGACTGTTTTTTTTTCTAAAGAGATTGATAAATTGAGAGGAAGGAAATAAACCGAGGCCCTCTCACTTTTTGGAGATCGGTGCCCTTTTCTGTACGTGATAGTTAGCATTTTCCAAATAGACATAAATGTTTTCTCAAACATCTTGACGGGAGTAGGTGGAAAGTGTGTATTGGGTATTGTTCCAAATATATCGTTGCGAACTTGGAAGGGATGACCCATATTTCCGCACTCTTAGGAGGATTGATAAAGCTAACTATTCGTAAGTCAGTCACGCGATTTCACCTCTCGAATGAAAAAAAAAATGCTTCGAACTAATTTTCTCATTAAATTTTAGTGGCTATCGAAATTCTAACGTTTACATAAAATCATAAGAAGATCAGCAAAACAAAGGCGCAAGGTTCTGCCTCTTAACATTTACAAAGTTACGTATACGATCAGAAACAGAAAGGAGGAAAAAAAAACAACTCTTCTGAAAAGAAGGTAGGTCACGTATATGATGAATTACTCTCGGTTTGCCTAGACATAGTTATTGTAATCACTTTAAAGAGGGAATTTATAAACTCGTCAAAGAATTTCCAAGTGTAAAGCAACATCTTCTTTCTGGTAGACAGATGGTTGCTTGTACACATGAATTTCATGATTGTGTTTCTTTTCA